GAAATCGAATTTGGGGCTAGTAGTTTCTGAGTTATTAATATTTAAAGTTTAGACAAGCGGAGTAGTGGACAAACATTTTGCGGGGTAACCCCGTACCACTCCACTCTGCCTATCAAAACTTTAAATACTTATAACTCATAACCTGTATCGAACCTTTATTTTGTTGTAATTTTCGATTACGATAAAATTCGTCRTATTAATTTCGTACTACGTGCGTTTGAGTATTTTTGAAAGATAAAATTCTTTTAGTCCACTATATGTTCATGGGTACGAAAAAGAAATAATATAGTACATATCTATTGTTATAGTAATATTATGGYTTAAGCAGAATTCKTCGTAATTCACTAACTAAAGCGACTCGAACCGGCGCCGACTCACGACCGATCCCCTGTCATGATGATTAATGGCTTTGGAATTCGAATTGATATAATACAAATGTCAAACTGTACACATTCGTAAATTTACAACCACAATTTATGTTGAAATTGGGTAGGTACCTGCAGCAAAAGTACCTAATCCTGATGGTGTTTTCACTGTCCACCAACAGTGTCGTACTGCTATAATATAACATTATTATATTATAACGTTTTTTCTCCTTACAATTCAATGTCTCTTTGATAGGGATCATAGGCAGATCCACAGAAAAATATATAACACTTATGGTTCTGAAATGTAGTACGTAAATAAATAATCATATATTCAAGGATTTGCACCTCAAAGCTAAATTTTTAAACTTTGTAATCGAAAAATGGGTTCACGCGAAGATTTGATGGCAGATAAAAAACTAATATTTTTTTGTCTGTATTTAGGGTTGTCATTGGTGAGTGCTTACAGAAAATAAAATAGTTATAAATAAATATAATTTTAAACCTATATTACCTACACTWGGTCAAAACCAACCAAATGAATTAGTAAAAATATGCGTATCTTACATAACAGAGTTAAACAAGTTCAATACAAGAAAAATCAACAAGACTTTGTCACTAGTAAAGGAGTGGAGGATCAGCTATAAATAATTAGTATATAAATTATAATATATAATAATTACCATATACAATCAAATACTTAAAACTAATTACCTTTATGCAAATCCACCGATTTGTCAACCAATTTTCACTTTAACGACCACTGCACAAGCACGTAATTCAGTAATTTAGGGGGTGGGGGATATCTCCCATAAACACCGTATTGTAGTAGTTAATAATTAATGAAAAAAAAATAAAGCTCTCAGTAGATGATATTGATATAATTAAACGCTTTGCTTCTATGAAAAACAGGAATACTGATTTAATATTATAATTTTAACTATGTAATGATAAATGTAATACTAAGTAATATKTTATTATTTTTTAATTCTTATCCTTATTAATTTTAAGACTCCGAAGCAAGATAAATTGTATGAAATTATTATAATTATACCTGACACCTGTGAATATCACAATAATATTATAATAAATGTATACCTATAGGTACATATTACATATATTTAGTCATGTATTTTGAAACTTTATTTAACAATAAAAATAAGCCACCTACATTAAATAAATATAAATTATACAACGTTGCACATTGTTTTAAGCCTACAGCATTCTGAAAAAGGTTATAACCGTCTCCCTCCCAAAAAATAAGTAACTATTTACGTGCCTGCCACTGCAGTAGCAATTAGTATTTATTAAATATAAATGTAAATATCATATTATTGAAGATTATATGATGTATTAAAACTGGTATAACATTTATTTTTATTTTTGGTTTGTATATTGTATTGTATTTTACTGTTAGATCAGAAAGAGAGTGAGAGAGAGAGGAGATAGTATGTGTGTGTCAAAGATCAATCGTCGTCAATAATTGTGTCCGGTGCATCGTTATTCTTTCGTCTCGTACACAATGATATATTGTGTTTAAGTTGTATACACAGCGCGACCGTTCATTTCACGTGAAGTAAATAATAATAATTTCAAAAGCACAATAGCATGCCGAATTGACTGCGGATGAATATACGGTCATCTATAGAAGCGCTGTCRCAGCGATCATTCCGCAGAGACAATATTATAATATAGTTTATCTGTACCATGTACCATACCCATAGTATATTATATATATAATATAAATTTGTTTCCGAGAACTACTGCGGAGACCATACACCATCTGTCATTACTTTATTTTATTTTATTTTATTGACACAAAACGGCGATTCACAAAATATATGTGTAAGTACATGAATTAATGTGAACGATCACAGTACAATGTTGACAGTATTAAAATTAAAATGATAAAATACAAAAAGCAACACTTAAATATACATTAGCTAATCGTAAATACGTATTATCAATTTTTACGCACCATATAATTTTCGAAAAGTCCCGACTGGTTTTCAGCAATCTATAGGCATGAGAAGACCGAGTTTTATTTTAATTATTGCCGATAAAAAAATGTTTGCTTGTTAGTTTGCTTGCTTGCACAGTTTTTTGATATTGTAATACGACGTTCTAAATAAAAAAAAAATGAGAAGACAATTATAAAATTATTTCGAATCAATATGTAAAAATATATGTTTTAATTTATATTAGCMTCACGATCAGCACCTGGATAGTGTAACTATTTTAGTTGTATAATTTATTTAATAAATATTATGTTATTTTCACGTCTGGCGTCCACTGTAATTTTTTTTGTAAATGCATGTGTCAAGCCGTGTTGTCAAGTTAACGCTTCTCTTCAGGGCCATAATGCGAGTATATTATTATATACAATACACATTGTACCCCAAGTATCCTATTGACACAATACTCTCGGATCTAAGACGTTTTATTGTGTTCCGTAAAACCAAAAAGTCACCCCACGATCCTCACAGAGTTATACACACATCACATRATATAATTTTAACATGTAGATACAGTTAAATAATATACCTAAAAATATTATATAAACATTTTAAATTAAACCAATTGATATTATTGAAACTTATTTGTTTTTGTGGGACCTATTCACATGTACCTATTTCTGATAAATTATATTATAACTTATTAACACCTTTCGATAATATGCTTTATATCTACAACTATAATTGTCATATATTTATCGAGACTATTCATCCGACTTACGTATAATATATTATTGTTTACAGACAATTAGTTGAAACMTTTCCACAATGGTCATACTTCAAATCGATTTTTATACATAATTGTAAGGTATGTAAATAATTGTGTTTTAACTTATATTGGCCTCGTGATCAGTATTTACATAGTGCCAGAGGCGTATTTAGGCACAGCCGCACAGGCCCTATAGGCCCTGGCCTAGAGCGGCAACATTGGAGGGCGGCAAATTTCAACAAWTTTTTTTTACAARATTAGAAAAATTATTTTTCATTTGATGAAATCAAACTCAACTAATTTTTGTTCGYTCAAAATTAATCATAYATCTACATATATCTCAATGTATCTTTTTAATATAATAAATTGTATATTTAAATACGTTTTAGRAATAATTGTAGGAAGGATGAAGGGGGAGGAAGGCGGCGAATTGGAAGGTGCCTAGAAGCGGAAAAACCTTAAATACGCCACTGCGTAGTGCATAAACAATAAAGCAGTGCCGTAAGTTTACTATTTTTTTCCCCCGTAAATTATTTTTACTCAAAATAATATTTTGTTGCTAATCTGAATATCTAATCAAATGCAAACAAAAATGTTATAGAGATAAATTTTTTATCGACTAATCATAAATAATATCAACGCAATATATTATTGTACCAATCTTATTTTCTATTTTCTTTTCATTTTATATTGCATAAGTTATAGTTCAAAGTAAATAAAAATAAATGTTAAGATTTTTTTACATACAAAAATAAAGGAAAACATGCTGTGTTGATTTTGATAATTTAATTTAAATAATTTATGAATTGCATTATGAATAATTAAATATTCATAATATGTACTGATACAGAACAATAGGTAATTTAGTATTTATTTAATGTTATTATTTGAAAGAACTAAATTTATTAWGTTTGCAACATAAGAAATAACAATGCATTGTTTTGCAAACAATTTTTAATAATAAAAATATGGCTCTAAGATATTTTTTTATTTAACCTTAGATCATATTTAACCAATTTTTCCACTTAATTGATAATTTTATTGATTTTTTTACGAAAATATTCTCCTTCTTTAATTTAAACTACAACCAAATGTGCTCCTGCAAACATCTGCGGTATATACCGTGCTACACATATTATGCGCCCTAAAAGGCAACCCTATTTACGCGTCGATACAAAATATCCAATAGACCAATAGAGGATTTATTAGCGAGAGCGGCGACTAGGTTACGTAGGAATAAGTTGTCACTTGGTAAAAAATTTTTAAAATAAGCTTACTTAAAATTGTCAATAGTTTAATTTGAAATAAAAATCAGCTTATAAATTCATAATAATTTTTCACGAGTGTCTGAMATTAGAATTTTGAAAAAATAATATTAGTCAAATGTATCTATTTATTATTTGGGAATCTAATTGGATAATTATTCCTTATGTAGGTATAAACTGCAATTTCATTGTACATGTCTATTGTATATAATATTATAGCAAGTACAAGTATATACTTCTTTAACTCCAAATTTTTCATTTGGTTCTTCAAACAGTTAAGAAATTTAATTAAACAAAAAAATAAAAATATTTTCATGCCATTTTCAGACTATCCAACTCTAATACTGATTACTTCTTTTTCATCCATTTAAATTTAATGTAAATTATATAGCAAACAAGATCAAATAATTCTCCAATGATAATTTATTAAATTGTTAAATAGTTAAATGATTTGTTTTGTTATCTCTTAATAGGGACTTTTGCTAAATAATAATATTAATTGTAAATTTAAACTTAATTAATTTTCATGTTTTTTTGTTAATATTTATTTTCAGTTATTAATTTTAAGATACTACCATTATTATTATTATTATACAATTTGGACTTTTGTCTGTTAATAAATAAATAATGTTTCATGTTCACTTAGTTAACTAGTCATCCATATCAACGAGATGAAGTGTGGTCAAATATTTTAGAAACGTACAATCTTCATCAGACAACTGGCCTTAAAAGTATTGATGAAATCAAGCAGATTTTTGAAAGTTTAAACACAACAGCAAAAAAAGAAAATAGATATGATAAATTATTATTTAATTTGGTTTGTAATTTAAAAAATAAAATTATAATATTTTTGTTTAATAAATGCAGTTTGAAAGATATAAAACTGGAAATGGAAAGTACTCAAAAATTATGTCAAGTGTCAGTGAACAAGTTTTGGGAATTATAGGTGACGGAATAGAGCCTCTTGTGAATCCATATGATGATGATACTAGCTATACAGGTTTAATATTGACTATTATTTTTAATTTACATTGAAAAAGTTGAAAATATAACTTTATAATTTATTATAGAACTTATGGAAAACCATACAAACAATTGCAAAAATATTCAGAATAGTGGTAATATGGATGATGTAGAAATTGTTACTTTAGACAATGAAATGGAGTGTAATGTTTCTTTAAAAGATTTTACATATACTGGTAATCAAAAAATTAACTGGGGTAAGAAATCACATAACAGTTATATTTAAGTATATATGTTAAATATTAGATATGTCTATGTTAATTTATAAATTATCTTTTAGATATGTTAGATACATCAAATGACAAATGTTAGACAGTAACATCGAATGCTAATGTTATGTCAAATTCAAAACCATCCGACACAGTTTCAGATTTAACATAATACAGTACCTCATCATTAAAAAAAAATAGCAAAAATGAAACTGTTTCTAAAAGACAATATCATTCAACACAAAAAATTGTTTGTGAAGGGTTACAAGAGTTAACAAAAAAAAGAACAAATAAAGCGGAAGCTAAAAATGATTTTTTAATAGAATTACAATACATAAAAATGAAAAAAGCAAAACTAGAACTTCAAGCGGCCGAAATAACAATTGATATATTAAATACTGAACTTGCAACTAASCAAATGGAAATGAATTTWAAAAAAAAACCAATTAAAAATACAAGAAGACATTTTACATTTAGAAAAACAAAAATTTGTAAATGATTAATTTATTAATGACAACGGGAAGTTGTTATTTTTAATTAAAGGGGGGGTTTATATGTGTATAAATATATCTTACAAGATTACCATCTCTATTGTGATAAATTACTTCTGATCCAATTACTAATTAGAGCTCCTTTATTATATAATTTTATATTCAATCTATATTAAGTTTCAAAGTTTAGAAATACTTTTTTTGTTATATTGTCTGTAAATATAAAAAAATGTTTAATTTATATTTATATAATTTTATTGTTATTACAAGGAAGTATTGTTATTCAGTTATTATTTAATAAAAAAATAAAACAATAATAATTATAATATGTAGTATATTATATGTTGTAGGCATATAGTAAAATATAAAATATAGTAACAGTCAAAATTAGGTATTTAATTAAAAACAGTGTCAATTAATGTTCTGCG